TTATCCATTCTGTTGTCAACAAACTGGATGTGTAAACTGCCTAACTTGAAACAAAAGGCAGCTACTAACGACTCTTGCGCACTTTCAATGGATCATAATATTTAACATATTATATTATAGAAATAGTTTCATTATACACCTCGCGTATGGTACCACTGCCACTAATATATATGACTGCACTGGTACAGTATGGGGCGGTACTGGGCCAGAGATAATAGTCAATATCTCGTATTTCATGATAACTGTAATCTGCATGTAATTTATGGTAGATTACATTGTTTTGATGTGGTAAATAATTTGGAAATTGGTTTATCAATGTTGACTACGGAAGCACTGAACTGGCCCAGTGGTGGGCCAGCTAGCTGGTACGTTACCGGGCCAGTACAGTTGAAGTGTTAGCGGTAGCAGCCGCCAGCCGGTATTGGACGGGCACTTGCCCAGTACAGTTGAAGTGTTAGCGGTACTGCCGGTACGAGCCAGAATGATGCCAGCATTGGCCCAATACTGCTATGTTTGCGGGGGTACTACTAGTGTTAGTGTGTAGGCGAGATTTGTAGAAACTTCTTAGAATTTCAGAATTACTTTAAAATTTTCGTAGAATTACACTGTCAGAAAAAGTGGAAAAAGTGTCGTGTAAAAATTCTTCGAGTTTCTCTATTGAAGCCTATTGGCAATAGCATTTGGGTCTCACCCTAACCCTAACCACAGACATTAGTAGAATAGTGTCAGATTATAAAAATATTATTTGGTCTCTTGGGTACCTAGACTAATAAATTTTGGCATAGCAATTTTCAAAGTCAATCGCTTACGTTCCAAATTCACTGAACAGACAGTAAGTGCAATGCTTCAATTCAATTAATAACATTACATTGAATTAACTGAGTATATGAGTTAATTCCAAAAAAATCCCATTTTACAATTCTTATAGGTGTACAAGGTACGTTCGTCGTATCAGCAGGAACTTTGTGTCAACTTCTGGAGTCGCTCGTCAGGACAGTATTCCCCTTGCTACAGCCTACATGTTCTACGTTGCTTGGGAGGCTATCTAGGGCAGCAAACAGGTGCGTTATCGTTCACGTAATCTACGCGATCGGCTGTGTGTTACGAAGCCTACCTAACCGTCACTCGCCTGCTGCAGGAACCATCCGTGTCGTAGCTTGCATGAACCTAAACTCTGGATTGCGTTCACAGCTTAGCGGAGCAGCTGGGAGTAACTCGGAAGTCGTGTCGCGTCGTTTCGAACATCACGTGCATCGGATGCAATCTTTTTTCAGTTTACGCACGTAAGGACCGGGAGAATCGTTTTCACACCGGAAGACGGTGAGAGAAGAAGACGGTGAGGAGGAAGGCATTCCCCAGTCGATCTGCGTGAACGGTGCCATTGCTGGTCGCTTGACGGGAACGTCTCACATTAGCAAGAAACCGTATGAGTGTGAATTGTGATGCAAGCCTTTTCTCGTGAGTGTAACGTGAAAATCCGCACGAGAAACTCACACCGGCGAGAAATCGTATTAGCGTGACGGGTGTGGTGCAAGATTTTCACAGTTAGGTAGCAGGGAAGCCTACGTGACAACTCTCACGGGAGAGAAACCATATAAATGTGAACTATGTAACGCAAGTTTTTCACTGATATGTAAAATGAAAATCCACATGCGAACACACACGGGAGAGAAACCATATAAATGTAAACTGTGTGATGCAAGTTTTTCGCAGTTACGTTACATAAAAACCCATATGAGAACCCACACGGGAGAGAAACCATATAAATGTGAACTGTGTGACGCAAGATTTTCGCAGTTAGGTGGTATGAAAATCCACTTGAGAACACACACGGGAGAGAAACCATATAAATGTGAACGGTGTGATGCACGCTTTTCACGGATAGATAGCATGAAAATCCACATGAGAACTCACACAGGAGAGAAATTGTATAAATGTGAACTGTGTGATGCAAGTTTTTCACACAAATATTACGTGGAAATCCACTTGAGAACACACACGGGAGAGAAACCATATAAATGTGAACTATGTGACGCAAGATTTCGACAGAAATGTTACGTGAAAATCCACATGAGAACTCACACAGGAGAGAAATTGTATAAATGCGACCTGTGTGACACAAGATTTTCACTGAGTGGTAGTTTGAAGACACACATGAGAATGCATACGGGAGAGAAACCATATAAATGCGACCTGTGTGATGCAAGTTTTTCAGTAATGGGTCACATAAAAACCCATCTGAGAACCCACACGAGAGAGAAACCATATAAATGTGAACTGTGTGACGCAAGATTTCCACAGAAATGTTACGTGAAAATCCACATGAGAACCCACACAGGGGAGAAACCATATAAATGCGACCTGTGTGACGCAAGATTTTCACAGAGATCCTATGTGAAAATCCACATGAGAACCCACACAGGTGAGAAACCATATGAATGCGAACTGTGTGAGGCAAGATTTTCACAAAAAGGCCAGTTGAAAAGGCACATGAAAACACACGCAGGCGAGAAACCGTATAAGCGTGTCGCGAGCGATGCAGCCTTCGCCAGAACACGTCGTCCGAATGACTCGACTCAACAGCATCAAACTGACGAGAGATTAGACAAGAGGTTAATCGTACGACTGCGGCGTCTCTCTGATGTAACTACTGTAAGTCAGTGAGGTGTATGAACCCAGACTGCGATGCGGTCGGCAGATCATACAGCGAGAGAGACACCGTATGAAGCTGAACGTTAGCTGTGTTCACCTACCCTCTTCATACGTAGTAGAAACAGCTCCTCCACGTGCTCTCTCCTCTCCTCTACGGGAAATTCTAGAAGTATTTCTTCTCCGGAAGAAGCCGCGAACATTTTTCGATCATTCTAGCGGTGCATTCGTCGGCCGTACGTTTTCCCGCGGCGGGATGTAAGCGAAAGCCGACGGTGCGGGAGGGAAAGCAATAACTAACTGTAGTCTGTGATGGCCGGCGCTGTTTATTCAAAACGAAGTAACTTGATGTCGCACTCGCGACGCCGCGTGAATGTAAATTTGTGTCGTATTTTTGTTTTGCTAATTGCAAGCGGTGCTATGAAGCAGCTCTCTTGGGTACAACAGAGTACAGCAAGTCAGGGGCGTAGCTAGCCCTTCAAAGATGTGTAGCCACTAGGCAGAACTGAAAAACGGGCGAGGGGTATGGCGGTTCTCCCCCAGAAAATCTTGAAAATGTAGACCGCAGGAGATGGTATTTGAGGTACTTTTGAGTATATGTACACAGCATTCTGACTAGGACAATTCTATTTTTAGTAGAACAATTCTTGCGCTTGCAGCGCGGCCGGCATTGATTGATTGATTGATTGATGTACAGTGGGGGGGAGGTGCATTGTTTAGGTCGCGTTTATTATTGAATATGTAGGGAGTGACCACTGCTGGGATGAGGGCGAAAGCAACTCTTTCTCGGAATTGTGAAAAAAGTGAAAAAGGGTTGTAACCTGCTTCGCCTCTCAATTACATAATTAACCATGGATGCATCATGTGCCGTTTTGTACAGCCGCGCGACTATTATACTTGCCACTAATTAATTCGTATGTGGGTAAAAAATATTGTTCATTCAACAGAAGGGGGTGGCTAGGCCCCTAGATTAGGCGAGCGCCACAACAAACAAGAGAGCAGTTTTTATCTCTGTGGTGAGATTGATCTATGATTCCTCAATCATTCAGTGTGTGTGTGGAGCATAAAACTAGAATAGAACACACTATGGTGTGGAGTGGGGCATATCTTTTCATGTATATTATTTATGTATGTTGTTTGTTATTTGTGTATGTTGTAAAAATTCTTTTTAACATAAATTTGTTTTAACCTTTTTTTAAATGATGTGCAGGCACGTGCCATTTTGCCTAAAGGCAGCTACGCACCTGCAAGTGGTTTCGCTCGGATTTGTTTCGAATGTTTTACAGTCGATCATTAGGTTTGTGTCGCGCAATGGTGGAGTGCATAATTTTCGGTTCAGGTTCCCATGGCGATTTAGAAATTTCAACTTTGAGGTGATTGTGGCAATGATTTGTTATTAGTTTTCACATGATTCGGTGGATCCTTTTTGTTAGGCTATTGAACTTTCACTCGGCGTTATATTATGCTGCAAACATGAAAACCGTAGTGCCTCTTGAAATAGGGTTTCTGCAGTCTGTAATGTCAGTAAAACTGTTTAAATAATTGTTGTATAGCATAGACCGTATATATCTATCTATCTATCTATATATATATATAACAGAGGTAGATAATAACAAAATTAATTATTATTTACTCCCGATATATATATATATGTGCGTGCGTGTGTGCATGCGTGTAAGCGTATGTAGGAGTAACCGTGAGATTTTAGTTCAATGTAGTTTATTGAGTAAGTTCTCTTACCTGATAGGTTTCTTGTAATCAGGAGCACAAATACTATGCAGTTTTATGCACCTACTAACAAGCGTTATTGGTCATAATCGTAATCATAATATATAGCGTATCTGAGTTTAGTGCTTTATCATTTTCTATGCATCTTACCTGTCTAGTTTAGTTTAGTGTTTTATTATCAGTGTTTAGGTATGGCTATGTTTTGTAATTCAACTTGCTAGTTTGGTGCGTGATGCTCTTACGACCGTGTGACGTCATACCAAGAAGCAGTAAATGTGTTGAGTTACTGCAAGTATGGCTCCGTGTGTATCTTTTGTTATCGGGGATGTACGTGGTTCGCTAAGTTACCACGCGAGCTGTCGTCTGCGTATATCCGGCAACAACAATAGACTGAAGTCGGCCATCTTTGTTTATTTGTATCTTTTGCATCATTTGTGCGGCTGCAGATCATCGGATGCCCGCCTGAAAGATCTCTATGGTTGCACGTACTCATAATGTACTATAAACAATAGGTAACCTGTTATACTACAATTAGTTGCAGTATAGTTTTTGCGAAATTGTTACATCGCATTTTCCCCCATCAGAGCGAACGTAGGTACTAACATAAAAGAACGTGGGTACCAATATAAAAGAACAGGTGTAAGAATATAGAACACAGGGATGGGAAGGATGCTAATATACCATTATAGGCGGTATACCGTGTACATAACGGAAACTGGCATGTGAACACCGCGCGCGCGTTGCATTCCGGAATCGAAGAGTCGCATTTCCACTCGTGCGTGGGGTCAGCATAGACACGCTTACCCGCTGACCATTCTAACATAACGTTACACAGGACTATGGTTGGCCGTCGTACTCAGAAATAATTATCTTTACCGCGGTAAAACTATGTGTAACAAGGCCTCTGATTGGGTAAAAGGGCTGTCATTTAACTGCCGTTGAATTATTTCTCCTGCGGTAAAAATCATTTGTTCCCGGTTAAGTTATGTGTATCAAGTCCTGGGTAAAAGGGGGTGGGATTGGGTAAAATAGGGCCCTACTAATTTAAATCTTGGACTACGTCACAAATTTTCTATTATATTACATATTTAGTGCAATGTGTGTCTGTTTGTCTGTTCTCGATGCAACCAATACGGGCCTCTATAAATGTCAAAGATTGTTCAGTAGACGTACAATTTTTGTGCTGAATTGTCATTGTCGCGCATAGATTGACATCCGAGGTCATCTAAGCCAAAAAACTGGAAAACAGACAAATTACTGGCCCCTGCCGTAGCATTAAATAAACGGGATCACTCTTGTACCTGGCACAACGGCGATTACTGTACAATTGCCGCATGTCATTGTCGTAACAACATTCACCTTTGCACTGACTTGATACCAAGTGCTGCAATATTTTCGATAGGCTTAGATAGATAGATAGACTAGATTAGATAGATAGATAGATGACAGACATTACAGACATGGCAGGCAGCGCCAGGCAGACGAGAGAGACATTATAGATAGCTAGACAGGTAGATAGATGTATATTATTGGGCGTATTTTTCTTTCAACAAGATGGTCACCAACTGAACGCCCTATATTTCCGGGACGCGCGTTGTCCCTGGCTAGTGGTGTTATAATTGTAAAAATTTTTGTTTCACAATATTTGCATGAAAAGTAAGATACCACCGGTACTAAATGTATGCCTCAAATTCTTACCTGATAAGATTTGTTTTTTCAACTATGTTAAAAATGCCAAAACTTGGGCAATTTGATATATGATGCACGACATTTTAATGCTTGCTAATGGGTACTGTATGAGTCACATGTGTGTTGTTTCACATCAAATGGAATAGCAAAAAATAGGAAGTAGTAATGCAGCAATTTAACCTTGAAAAAGGTGACTTAGAAATCACATTAGCTGAAAAAGTGGACATAATTTTTTAGCTTCGTCATTATTTATGGGACGATATCACTTTAGCCACAGCTGCCTCGCTGACGTGCGTAACTTTGAGCGCGATGTTCGTTCGCTGTTGACTGTTTAACAGGACTGAACTGGTCTTTCGCTATTAGAGCCCCCGCACCACCACCTCCCCCACCACAACACTACCGGCTCGGCGCTCGAACGCAATATCCATGATGCATGGTTCAATATATGAAGTCGATTAAGTTACACAGTGTTTCGTTATTGCGTGATGATACCCGGATATAGCAAAAGCCTATCATCTGATTTTAGATCTGTATTAGTAGGTATTCCTAGATATATGCTCTTGAGCGCTGAACGGGATGGGGGCAGGGGCAACTTGATTCGGTTGCCAGTAGAGTTTACTCCAGAAGACATACCCGGCTACAGTACACGTCAGCTTAAGCGCCTGATCCGCTTGCGCACTTTTTTAACATACACCACTGTGCGCTGATACCGTGTTTATTCAGTTTAAACTGTTTTACACATACATTGCGCTCAGCGAATTTATTTATTGGGCTCTGTTGCGGAACTCTGTGAGAAATACCCTGCGCTACCACCCCCTTATCGCAACAAGCTGGTATGCTGTTGCAATAATTGCGCGCAATGAAATCCAAATTTTAAGTTGTATACGCGGCGCAATAACTCTCCGCCGAAACCAGGTAGATTTGTTACACAATGGACATGCGTGTAATGTACAGCATACACACACGTGCTCAGCCTTAAGATCTCGGGTATTGAGAGTTTTACGCCGTCATGTCGTCTACTTATTTTATTGTTACCGGACAATGTCGCCTCCTTGAAATTTTGCTAGAAATTTCAAATTTTTAAACAAATTTAGACTCACGGTTTTAGGTTTTAAAGTCTATGGTTTGGGGTAGAAATTATAGTTTAGGATGTTGTTGTTTTATCAAAACTGGACTCGGACTCGGGCTCGGGTGGCGTGGACTCGGACTCGGACTCGGGTGGCGCGGACGCGGACGCGGACTCGGACTCGGGGGTACGGACTCGGACTCGGGGGATGCGGACTCGACTACAACACTGCCTAATACAAATACAGCTAACACAACATGCAGACCTCGGTAGTAGGCCTACAGATTGTCATGTTATTGTTGACTCGTTGAATGTGATTTTTTCTAATAGGGCCTACATTGAAATTAATGGTACAAGATGCCATTTCATTGTTGATGATAATAATACAATCAATAGAAAATCACGAATAAGATAAAGAAGATAATTATGTTATGCCTTATTTTAATATAATTGCCCCCAGTATCGTACCGGAAGTTTCCTGTACTGCGTTGTGCTGCCGCCTGTCGGTGACGCCGCATCGCCGAGCGTATTTATCGCACGCGGAAGTCAGCAATCCATGTGTTTGTATATATCTATGGTTTCAGCTAACCATACACTCTGATGTGATAATGTTTTATTACGAACACAACCACCCACAACAACATCCAGCCTGTTGGTCATTCAAGTATTGAGAATAAGCCAGTTCGTAGTTAGCCAAGTGGTTGTGTGACGTCACAGGTCAGCGGGTCATTTGTGACCAAAATCGATGAAATCTGTAGTGCGGCGTGCGCTCTCTGTTCAGTATGTGTATGTACATGTATTCTATGTACGTGCACACGCACGCATGTGTACGTGCACTCACACACGCACGCACGCACCTGTACGTGCACACGCACGCACGCACGCGCCTGTACGTGCATACGCACGCACGTTTACGTGCACACGCACACACGCATGTGTACGTGCACACGCACGCACGCACGCAGGTGTACGTGCACACGCACGCACGCATGCACGCACGCATGTGTACGTTCACACACACGCACGCACGCACGCGCCTGTACGTGCATACGCACGCACGTTT